ACAAAAGCTTGTGCCATTTGTGAATATTTTTTGCCTCGGAGTAGGTACAAACACCGTATGCATCAGTTACTGTCAACTGTTTTTGAGCACTAAGTTCCATTTTCAACACAAAATTTGATACAAATTCTTCGATTCATCATGTTCGATAACAGAAAATCGCTGAACACCAACAATCTAAACATGCTAAACAGCCGAATCCGTGAACATACGTTTGGATGAAAAAATGAAAAAAATTGCCAATCCGATATTCGTAGCCCGTGAAGTTTGAACATTCACCTGATGTTTTGAACGAATTCGCAGCGAGTCATTATTATTAACTTGAAGTGTAACGGTTCCAGACTGAACTCTTGGGGAAAACCTGAGAAGATTACACATCTATGGGATTTGATTCATTTGCATTCAACAAATAGCTTTTCCTCACATTCGAATATTTGCACAAATATTTAGAATCTGTCTACAAGACTATTCATCAAATGCTCCATTTGATGAATAGTCAGCATTGAATTCAGCATTGAAATCACTCATTAACAGTTCTTATGAAATGATACGTCAATGATTTTCCTCAGTTTCCACTTGAGATTTCTCTATGAGTGTTTCAGTTCAGAAAATTATGTCTTTCCATTTCATCGACCCTTGTATCGTTCGAAACCACATTATGACGTACAATGAAAACAAGAGTTATAGTGGATACTGTCTCTTTCCACATCAATTTTCAGTTCACGTTTCGTGTAATGGCCTTTGGATTAATTCCGATCAATAGCAATTAAAGTCTGACTGGTGTAAAAATAGCCACGGTAAACATTGCGTTGATATTCCACACACGAGAAAGATACTTGTTATGCATGCAGTGCGTAGGGGTCATTTTTACGAATTTGGGTCGAATATCGACTTGTCAGTGTTGTTTTTGTAAGGTATTTTAGAAGATAGATGGATTTTACACATTTTCTTTTGGTCTTTATTTAAGCATGGACAGAGATGATTATACACAATACAATTTTTATGAAATCATCTAAGATTCCGCACTAGGAGTCGCCCGTTGAAAGGTGAGACCTCGTTAGTCCTAGGCTCCCACAAATCACGACATCTGAGAGTTGTCCTTCGTAGAGGGGTGACAGCTGGTTACTGGAAAAAAATAGAAGATTTTTTCAGATTTAAAATAACTATTACGAGTTGGGAGTTTATTCCGTTTTGATGAGTTTACTTCAAACTTAATTATCTCAGTGAATCTGTACACTTTTGCCAACGCATCACAAGTCGATTATTTCTGTCAGCATAAAAATGGCATGCTCGGGATTCGATGAAGTCGACGATTGCCTTTTCTGTCTAGTCCTGATTGACGAAGGTTCTACCGGTGAGAAAATTATAGAAGGGCTTCAAAAGATGATATTCGGTTGGCGACAATTCTGGGAAGTACGTTGTCGTGGAGCAGTGTCGGCTGATGCTGAAGCAGTTTTTGGTACATTTTGTCGATTTCCTCACAATATGACTCTGCTGTGATGGTTTGGCCCAGTTATAAGTTATACAGAACCACACCAGCCACTGTCCACCATACACTAACCATGTTTTTTTGGTGGGTTTTTGCCTTTGGATTGTGCCTGGGTGGTTCATCGATGTTCGATCACTGTTCTGAACGGATCCTGTTGTCGTTCATTGCTCTTCAGACTTGACGATCAAAAAAGACACGATGGACGTTATAATGAAATTTCTGAATGAGTGTAACCTGGAGTTGTAGACGAGACTAGATCTGATTCCTATGTGTACATGTTCCCTTCCTCAAAATCCTTTCTTTCCGCGGTCTACCTATTCTGTGTAAAGTCACCCTGATCGACCCCTGGGTGTGAAAAATAATAATTGAATAGAACTGGCCGATAATTGATGAAAATCCATATTCAAAAAACTAATAAATAGAGTTTATTCTATGATTTTCACTCTATTTATTAGTTTTTTGAAAAATAACAACCTAACAATTTGCACTGACAGCAGACAAGCCATATTAACCTTGAACAGACAACGTATCACCTCGGGGCTAGTACTAGAGTGCCACCAAGATTTAGCCAAAGCCTCGGTAGATAATAACATTATCCTGAGGTGGATTAAAGGGCACGACAGGAGTAAAGGTCGGCATTGCCGACTCTTTAGCCAAGGAAGCGGCTGGACTGAGAATTTTAGGACCCAGTGGCACCTACGGCCTGAGGACTTCGACAATTGCGGAACTAGCCAAATGTTACGCCCATGCTCAATCCCTAAAGAGATGGGATAGAATCAAAAGATGCAATTTTGCCAGGATCACTTTGGGCGACCCTGGGAAGCTGGCGCCAAAGAAATATCTGGCGATGACCCGGAAAAATCTACGTTTAACAGCAGGATTTCTGACTGGCCACCGTCAACTAAGGAAACACCTCCATAATATGGGGCTAGTGAACACACATCTATGCAAGATGTATGAACAGGAAGATGAGACTGTCAGGCATGTCCTATGCGAGTGCCCGGAGTTATCGTCAGTGACAGAGTGTGTGTTCGGCGAGTCTTGATCTACACCTGCCGATATAAAGGAGATGTCTCCCAGTGACCTCTCCACCTTCCTGGAAAGGACAGGATGGACGATGACCTAGGAGGATAACTCCCCTGGAGGATATACAATGGGTCAAATGTGGCCTAAGTGCTGTAGGCTTATACTCACCCTTCCTACTCTATAGATACAGATACAGTAATAACCTTGAACCCCATCCTTTTTTCAAGAAAAAGTATAGAAATTGAATTTCTGGCTATTATGGACTATGCGTCCAATAGCACGAAAGAAGAACATACTTCAAAATGTGCCAATTTCTGTCTATCGTTCAAATCGGGGGGCAACCACTTTTCGAGCTTTCTGACCTTTCCAATACATTTGAAACCATCAAAAACCTCATGGAAGCTGACGCCCAGTTCTTCTGCTATCCCACACACCGTTCATGATGAGTCTATTTCTACCAGGGTCCTCTAATCCTTATCCTGGATTACTGTGGGTCAACCACTTCGGGGCTCATATACGAGACTAATTTCTCTGGAACGAATTTAACAAACTAGAGTAGAACAATGCGTTCATCAACACTATCTTTGCCAAATGCCTAGTTTATTGTTTGAGCGTTTGGCAAAACTTTGATTCAATTTGAATTCCTAGAGAAATATTGGCCAAAAGTTGTACAACGAAACCATCTAGTGATAAGCAGAAAAGGGGCAAAACATTTAAATTTGTGAAAAAAAATGAATGGCATCAATGCTCAGAGTAAAACATTCTCTATAGTATAGTAGTATATACCATATACTGATTGATATTGAGATATGGAGCTACAAGAAAACATAACATTAAAATGGACAAGAACCCCAAGAATTCGGGACAATCCTCTTGTTGTCCTAACGAGTATCCAGTGGACTTGAAAGACTCCTGGAAATCGGTTGGTGGGAAAGATGATACTTCTTTATGAAACCTCAGCTGCATGAAAAAGTGTTTGAGTTTGGTGAATAACTCTCTTTCTGGTTTTGTAACAAGATTTCATTTCAGTTTATGAATCTGGTGAACGGAAACTTATTGAAAATTATTGACCAATCTCTGTGATTGACAACTTCGCAAAAATTTTTGAACATAGCATCAAAGAAGACCCATAACACTCCGAATAGATCAGATAAATGTCTCGCTATCTTTCTTGACTTGGCCCTCCTCCTTTGGAGGAGCTTTACAATTATGGAATCAGGAAACCTGTAAACGATATTCTACTGAATTATCTATACAAGAGATCTCAAAAAGTGAAATTAGAAGAGTACTGTAGTAATCCTTCAGGAATATCAATAGGGGAACCACAAAGAACTGCGCTAGGCGCAATATTATTTCCTATTTATATAAATAGTGTTGAATTTATAAAAAACTCCATATTATCTCGTATGCTGACGATACCTCTTTGATTTATTCTGTAAACTCTTGGGATGAGGTTATTGATGATGCAAATAATGGATTAGAGTAGGTTAAAAAAGGGCTAGACCAAAACCTACTTAACTAGAATGTAAAAAACTGAATACATGTAATTAACCGATAGTAAAGGAAAGTATTCATGTACATGGGAATAATTGCCAACATCGTTCAAAATGCAGTTATCAGAAAATTGAGAAATGTAATATAATAAGTATTTAGTTGTTGTGATAGACGGAAATTTGAGGTGAGAAAATCATGTTGTGTCTTTGACTGACAGACTCAGACAGTTAACTAGAAAAATGTATGAATTGAGAGAATTTCTGAATGATAAAACACTAAGAGTAATTTACTATTCATTAGCTGAATCCATATTACAGTTTTGTATAAAAGCATGGGGAGGTTTATTTCGCAATAATTCAACAAAACTCCAGCCAATGCAAAACAAAATCCTGAAAATAGTACTCAAAAAACCAAAACTTCATTCAACTGCACAACTTTATGAGGGGTCGCAGATACTTGATATTAGAAGCTTGTATGCCTACCAATGCTTAGAATGGATGTTTCATAACCTAAATCGTTTCAATCGCCCCATGGAAGTTGTAAATAATGACAGATCACAAAAAGAGCCACTCAAAAAGAAGCATTTTCTTTTTTGGGCAGAAACTGTATGATCTTCTACCTCATGAACTGAAGATTATAACAAACCTTCATAAGTACAAACAGCAAATAAAACATTTCATTCTGAAAAATCCATATATATGTTGAAATAGTAGGTATCAAAAAATAGTTGAATGTGTTTTGGGTAATATGTATCGATCTTGAGAACGTAATGCACAACCACAAAATCAATTAATATTCAACTCATCCACCAAATTATCAATACCGAAACAATTTTCATGTGATTCATGTTTCATTGAAATTCATACAATAAAAAACCTTGTGGTGATTCCTGAGATGAATAATATCCAGGTAACCTGTCAAATAATTTTGGGTCATTGTTACTTCACAGGAAAACAATCAAGTGGGTATATATTGTGTGCACTACCACTGAATGTTATAGTTGTCCAGTTCTTCCGTTGAGAACCACAATCGAGATGTTCAAAGTTATTAGTTTTGTTGTTGCTGTTGCTGTCGTTTCTGCAGAATTGCCGTCATGGTCTTACAACAGTTTTGGGAGCGGTCCATATCCACCATCTGGATGGAGGCCTGCAGGACCTGAATTCCGATTGCCAGAGCCCCATGCTTCTTATGGACCTCCACCACAGGAGAATCTCGCACCTCCAACACAAGAATACGGTCCTCCACCTCAAGAGTATGGTCCTCCACCTCAAGAGTATGGTCCACCCTCACAGGAGTACGGACCACCTTCATCTGAAGAGCCTACTACGACTGAAGCTGACGTAACTACAACGGAGCAGGCCACCACAACTGAAGCATCCACTGAAGCTACCACCGAAACTGCTACTGAAGTCACCACCGAAGCTGAGATCGCCAACTCTTTGGATGGGGAGGAGCAGTATCAGAAACTCACTCAACCTGCAGAGGAACAGGGGGTGTATTTCATTTATCACCCAAGTGGGCTTCTGCAGAGGATAATTTACACCACTAACGATGACAGACGGAACATGGCTTATACTGCCAGCTTCAAATATGAGAATGTAGAGCCGATAACCGGCCCTGTTTATACTTACGACCCTAACACTTTTGTTTTTCAGAGGGTGAATTGATTTTTTTTTGTTTCAATAAACATTGAGTAGTAAAATTCTCCGTTGGCATTTTGTTTTCAGTAAAGTTGGTTAGATAGTGTTATATCAGAATTTTGTTCGTTCAAAGATATTTAATATTTTTTCAAAAAGAAATAAGGAAACTAAGTGAGTAATGAATGGATGAAAAGTGTGTCACGAAAAAACCAGTGTCAAAATCTAGTATTGAAAGATGTGCACTAATAATAACTGTCTCTAGAAATGAACATTCATCAATGCAAATACGGATAACAATAATAACTTGCCCTCTATACTCTCGAATCTCAAAATCATATCGGCTTGCCGCATGAAGGCATAAACCTTGGCCTGATGCTTAGGGCACATGATTTTCGAACCTAATGATCACTTATACTACGGTGTGAGGAGTGGTCATTGGTTGATAATGCTGACGCGCCCCAAAAATGTATGGAAGCTTCGGGAACAAGGCCCGACTAGCTCAACCGTCGGTTGGCAAAATATGATGAAAATAATAATGATTATGAAAACAATAATGATGATTTGGGGATTCTTCAGGAACATACATGTTTATAGAGAGATTAAGAGAGAATAACAAATAGTATTGCTCAAGTAACTGGTAAATGGACTGTAATATAATTTTTTCATTTTTCGACCAAGATGAGAGTTCAATTGAAGGTGGAATGAAAAAAATATCTCTGTTTTGGCAATGGGTCGATATACATAAGAGACAAAATGGTTTCCAATTATTGAGAACTATTCATGAGTTTCCGCGAATAACACGGAGAAAGAGCAAATATATTAATAACAATTGAAAAAATTTAAAATTCAATTTTGATGTGATCTATTTTTTCAAATGGTCAGTGTTTGGTCTCTGGACCAGCTGAATGACATGGAACTATGTCAAAACATATTCAACACTTCTATATTGGAAAAGAAAAAACTGTTAGTGTTTTTGGAGAAATTTCATCATTACGCCACTTTACTTTCAATCAGCTTTCTCGAATTCCTTCTTGAATCTAGAAACTTGTTACCATGTTTGTGGATCTAGACATTGATTCAACAATTTACAACTTGGTGAATTTTTTGACCAGTTGGTATATACTGTAATATTCAAATAATGATAATAATTATGCTGTGTGTGCTGTTTGAAAATTATTTACTGTCTTTGTATACGTTACTGTCTGCGGCAGTACAAGAGTAGGTATATTATGATGAAACTATTTGCTGAAAAATGCACTTTTTCCTTGAAATTGGATCTGAAAGACGGTATATAGTTGTTTAATTCATTGGCATTGGGGATATTTTTGAGGTTTTCTGAAAATTTATATATTTAAATGAACTCACTGTTTGACGTGAAGAAGAGAAATAATTAGTTCCAAAAATATGGACATGCGTAGACTTCTTTAAATGAAACGATTTTACATTTTCAAAAGTTTCTTTTTAGAGCAATCGAAATTTTTGTTGTGAAACCTATATTCCAAAATGGCTACTCACAGTATTTCAACTCTGCTTATGATGATGAATCATTATCATATCGTGGATGAAAAATCTACACACAATATACAGACTGAACGTTTTTGGTGACTTTGCGGAGTGTTTCATATGCGTTGTGGATTCGAAAAATAACTATGAACCCATCACTTGGAATATTCTCGAAAAAAATTCTGACCTGTGCCGTTCGAAAGTCTGGTTGAAGTGAATTTTATCGCAAGATACCTTTGATCCGGTGTTCAATGAATGAATTTATCATAGAATTGAAAAATAATTATTGATAGGCTGAACCAAATGAATCAAGTGATATTCTGTCTCATTACAAAAGTTTGGTTAGATTTCTGAAGTGAACTATATTTGTCGCAAAACACTTTTTATCAACTGTTTGATGACCAAATTTATTTCGCTTTTGCTATTGAATGTTTTTTTGTATGTTAACATCATGATTGCTGATGATTGTTTTCGTCAGTATGAGATATAACGAACATACCAACTACCTCAAAATATACTGACTGCAATAACATTTTCGTCTAACACGTCATCCTATTGAATAAGAATGTATCGGTGTTCAATAAATTGTGTGGATAATACATAAAAATTTATTTCTCCACCATTCAAATCAATAACGAATAATATTTTGATGAAAGTAACAAAAATATCACAATTCAGCAGGTATTTCATCTACGTTCAAACTCTTCTGAACACAAAAGTTTTAGGATCATAAGTATAAATAGGTTCTCTGATTGGTTCTACATTTTTATATTTCAGACTGGCCATGAAAGCCATATTTGCAACGTCATCTTTGGTTGAGTAGGTAACTTTCTGAAGAAGACCACTTGGATGATAAATATAGTATTCTCCGTTTTTTTTATCTGTTGATTTCTGACTGGTAGGGCTTTTATCAGTGATTTCTTCTCTGGCTTCCTTTGCGTCTAGACCCTTCATCGTCGTTGGAGTTTCTCTTTCTTCCTTGCCGGCTTCTATGTCTCTGTTGTTAGGAGTCACTGATTTAGTTGGATTATAGAGGAATACACCAGCTGGTTCGAGTGGATTTTGCTGAAGCCTGATCAATTTTCCCAAAGGTACTTGACTTGATTTAACCAATTCTGTCTTTCTATTGTTCGACCCATTTTTACTATCATTTTTGGATGATATGCTGGTTCCATCTTGCCTTTCGGAGGTATCTTCTTCGGTTTCTGATTGTCTAGGAAATGATACTACAACTCCAGGTTGAGCAGACGGTATTTGTTGTACTCTCAACAGTGTTCTAGGTGGAAACGAATTGGGTGCTAGTTGTGCTGCAATACTCTGATTCTCCAGTGGTTTCTGATTTGCGATTTTGGAATTTTCATCGAGTGAATCTCTGTCTTCTAATTTTTGAACAATACCATTTGGATAGGCTGGAAATTCAACTGCACCTTGAGTAAATCGGGGCACGGTTTCAATGGAGTCGTAAAGAAAACTTCTGGGCTGCCCAGGCAGATTTTGTAACTTCAGAGTGGTTCCAGGATTGCTTGGAATTCCTTGGAAGTTACTTCTAAGGTCCAGAGTCTCAGGTTGATTTGGGTTGTAGAGAATCCCGCCTGGTTGAGTATAAAGGTTTTGCTGCAACCTCAAGAGAGCACCAGATGCTAGCTGGTTTGGTGTCACTAACAACCTCGGCACTTGATTTTGAGTTTGAATCAGTGTTTCGCAGGAAACTGCAACTATCAAAAAGCTAACAAACGCGTATGCCAACATTTTCTGCGACTTCTTCTGATTCACTGACTGTATGGAGAATCCGCATTGTTTATATACCGCGTTTACTAATTTGCTTACAATGTGAGCACTATTGTTTCGATGAATTACAAATTGCAATGACCTGGTACGAGTATCTGTGATTATTACAAATTTAATTCAAAACAAGGGCTATAGTACAAGGTTGGTGCGTTGGTATTGAATAATATCGCGAATGCGTCGTGTATAATCAATGAAGCACATTTTTGTTCAGTTTCTTGATTGAATTCCATACTGTCACGTTGCGTTTGGGCATTAATTAATTCGAAGTGCCATTTGGATTAGTAATTAGCTTATTATAGATAGAATGATTGATGAAATCTAGCATGAATAATTAGTGTTCGAGAATTTTGTTACTTTACTTAAATTGGGTTAGAGGGTTTTTGGATATTATGCGAATAATAATCAGATTTTTTTTGCCTACACATTGAAAAAATCAAAAGAAAAAATTAAATATCTATACTCAGCTTTCTTCAGTGGTGAACGTTTCGGAAAATGATTTTTTTCGGTTTTCAAAACGGAAATAGACAATATAAGTTCGGAAAAATGTGAAAAAATAAAAGATTTCGGCATGACGTTTGATACTTAGTCTAATTTTCTCTTTCATATTCATAAAATATCGCATCAGACGCTACACGTGATTTGAAATTCATAACCAGAAATTGTAAAGCTTTGTTCAAAAATGCTAGTTCTGAAATCTCTTCATTATAGTATTGTTGGATCATACCATGAATATTGTATGGAATCAATGCTATAATACACAAAATAGTATGCCTAAAAACATTCAGAGAACATTTTTAAAATTTTTAGCTTTCCATAGTGATGGTAGAAGTTTGGATCAGAATAATTAACTGAATTGATTTTACTGATTAGGTTATGTTAGGTTAGGTCCGAAGTGAATGGGTCTATTCGACTCTCCACCGCAACTCGCAAGGATTTATTGTGGCTCACACCTATTCACAGTCGACTAAATAAACCCAGCTTTTGACGAAGCCGATTAGTTTTTATGGTGAGTGGTCTTTCAGCTCAGATGGTGAGAGTACGGCTCTGACGAACTCTCAAAACCTGATTTGGTCTCCAGCGGGGCAGGAACAAAGTATAAGCACTGCTGTTTCATCGTTAATGAGGTAGTCGGATAGTCAAGGTGCAAGATTCCCACTTTGATACCCGCGACAACTTTTCCATATGAGGGTTTTTGAACGTCAGCTACACCTGACGATGCCTTAGATTCAACCGTGCAGGGCTTTTTCTCTTCTGATTTTGGTGAATCATCACTTGGGCGCAAACATTCGCTAACCTGCTCATGGGAGGTTTGTTCCTCCACCTGAGACAGATTCTGCGTACGCCGCTCAAGAATTTGGTACAAGGCGCTTTCATAAGGTACCCCGCTCTTGAGAAGACGACTCAGTTGTTTCCGGGCTGCACCAGGAAACCATTTTTTTAGGTTCAGTTATTGGATCAGGAGTTGGAGAATTGAGAAGGCTCTCACTCCTGATCTAAATTTGAAGGGAGGTCAGTTGGAGTCGTAAATTCGACATCCATCTCCTCTGTAGACTCACAACTGATCTAAATTCACAAGGAGGTCAGTTGGAGTCGTAAACTTGATATCCATCTCCTCTGTAGACTCAACGTCAGAAAGAATCTTTAAGTTTACTCTGTCCATAAAAATTCCCACGAGTAGCTAGGGAAAGAAGATCAATCACGGCAGAGCTCCGCATTATCGTGATAAGGCGATGCTACGACGAGAGGGTGCCTGGTATCTCGAAGGTTCTGTTGAGACAGCTGATAGGCTCAGTGTCATTCATCCTCTTGGCACGGATACACACACTTTAGTATTAAGCCATCGTTAGGATGCCATTCAGTTAGTGAATAACAGAATCACAAGTGATTCTGTTATTCCCGTATCCAGCGGGGCTACGTGGAAGCAGGCATCCGATTGCCGGTTTGCTCAACCCCCACATCCCAAGCCAATGCACTCACGAAAACAGCAGGCATAGTGGTTCAGGCAGTGAAAGATGAACAAGAACAGACAACCCGCCTTCTACTGAATATCGCGATAAATTATTAATGTAAGTGAAGAACAAAAGAAGTCCTAAATTCGAACCTTGGGGCATTCCGAAACTGGGAGTATATGAAGCATATTCAAAGACTTCATACTCTACATACTGTTTTCTATCATGTAGGTTATTTGAAATGAGATTTTTCAACCGTGCTGAAAAACCAAAATCTGATAGACTCTCGAGAAAAATGAAGTAATATATCAGTAATAAGCGACAGACTGTGGCTGATCATCATTTTGAGGTTCATCTCAAACTTCACTGTTCGAAAACTCTTTCATTCGTTCCTGAGAACGTTTTACCAAATGGATTTGATCTTCAGCGTTTCAAATCCAATTTGAATCGCTACTTTTGTACAGACACCGCTCTTAGAGTGCCTCAGGGATTTTACTGTAGTGCTTGTGTTTTTTTCTTAGTGAAACAGTTGTTACGACCAATCACTTGATAATGATTGAATAGAACTGGCCGATACTTGATGAAAATCCATATTTACAAAAAAAAAATTAATCAATACAGTTTATAGTATGATTTTCACTATAAATTATAGTAAAATTATAGTGAAATTATAGTGAAAATTATACAATAAACTGTATTGATTAGTTTTTTTTACTTGATAATGGTTTGATGTAAATTCGACAAATGAAAATAACAAATGAAAATCTTGGTAGAAATTAGATGAGTTATTTTTTCTATTCTATATTTAACTTTTATTGAACTATCTTACTTTAAATATCCTATATAAACATGTATACCGATAACTAATATTAGGATTCCGGTAGATTCAGTTCTCTTTCTCTCTCATCTGAAACATCCTTTGTGATGTTACCGGCTTTTTCAAGTTCATCGATTCATAAATCCAATACACTGCTTTTTAATAACTGATTATTTATTCATCGAACGCTTCGGCCTTTACGCTCCTACACATATCACCGATAAAGTCATGTCTAATAAAAAGCCCGGCATATTCAATGACAACACGGACCTTTTTGGTAATTGGATATTAAATTCTGCCCCTATAAATAGTAACCGGGTACATCCACCACACTAAAGCGATAGATCCCATCGAGAATCGATATGTTTTTATTGAAAGTGAGTCTGCTAGTTACCTGCGTGGTAGCTGGAAGAGAACACGCCACAGATATTGAAATACAACAAGTCGAAGTTTTTGAAGTGCCATGGCAAGAAGAGCCCTCTGAGCCACAACAGCCGCAGCAGCCACCACAGCCAGGATATGGACCACCTCAACAGGAGTACGGGCCTCCCAAGGCGGAGTATGGACCACCTCAGCCGGAATATGGCCCACCTCAACATGAGTATGGTCCACCTCAGCAGGAATATGGTCCACCCCAGCCGGAGTATGGGCCTCCCAAGCCGGAGTATGGACCACCTCAGCCGGAATATGGACCACCTCCTGTGTACGGACCTCCTGCAAAAGAAGCTACCACCACAGAATCTGGAACCACAACAACAGACTTACCAACAACTACAGACTATCCTGTCAATGGAACTAGCAGGAGATTCGAAAAACTTCAGAAAGAGGATGGCCTGTCTCAGAGAGGTGTGTACTACATCTATCATCCTGAAGGATTATTACAAAGGGTGGTTTATTCTACCAAAGACGATGTGAGGAAGATGGAGTATAGCGCGAAATTGAAGTACGAGAATGTTGAGCCTGTTCGAGGACCTATCTACAGCTATGATCCCAGGAGCTTTGAATTCCAGAGGATTGCAAAGTGAGGGAGAATATTTGTCGACCAGAAATATGTTTATTTTTCAAAATGATTTATTGATTATATGTTATTAACAACACACTTTGATTATAATTGACGTTTGACCATAGTTGGGGTAACTTCGAAATGCATAGATTATCTCTGGTGTGATCACACTATATTTCAGTTTTTTATCCACAGAGGTGCTGAGAACAACTCAAGTGATGCAGATTGAGAATGCCAAGTTAGCACTTCCACTTTCAATGTTGTTTACATTTATTTGGGCATGACATGATATTAGGCGAAATATTTTTTCATATCATGGTCAATATATCAAACATCTGAAGAAAATACAGAGTTGTGTAAATCTCGTTTCTCGCGTCGAGAGTTTTTAACAAAACGAAAGCGAATCGGTAAAACACTTTTGGTGACTTCCTATATGTTGCGGGTCATATTTCAAAAAGTTAATGGTTACAATATGAAAATAGTCAAACAAGGTAGGAAATATCATATAAAATTGATGGAAAATAGATCTCGATAGTGAATATTTTCAATAAAATTTGAAAATCTTGAAATGTAACATTTTCCATCAAATTGGGGAAGATGGTTTCAAATACCAATTGATTCAAATATTTTTGGTCCTAATTCATACACTTGTGTTGACAGGTCTCTATATTATCTATATTATCATCATTATTATAACATCATTTATTCAAGTTCATATTTAATCGATATGTAACAAAAAATTCATTTTAGATGCTCTGGCAGAAATAATACATAGTAATGATGAGTGTAAGAAAATACAACCTGATTTTACTCTCGAAATTTCGAATAAAATTTCAAAATTACGACTTCGAACCGAAAATTCCGAAACTAAAGCCAATATTTCAGTTTGAAAGTCGTAATTTTGAGTTTGAAGTCAAAGTTTTAATAATGACGTAAAAGTTTCGAAATGAAAGCCAAAATTTCAAGTTCAAAGTTGTAATTTCGAGATTTGACTTGGAATTTCGAGTTTTGAAGTTGCAATTTTCAACAAGGAAATGATAAAAATATATATTTTTATCATTTCCTTGTTGAAAATTGCGACTCTTTTGCGCTTCAGCAAATTCGTACTATGAAATTTTTCATTGATATATTTGCACAAATTTATTACTTCAAATATAATTCAATTAGCAATTAATGTGAAGCCTGGTCGGGAAACTTAGTGTGTTGGAAAACGGTCCGTGCAAAAATTAACAAAATTTTTAAATTTTGAAGATTTTTCGGTAATTCGATTATTAAATTCACCCATTCCTCTATTGAGGGAACTTTTTCGTACTTTGTAGTTTTTTTATTCATTCGACGTAGGAACTTGCTAAAGAAATTTAAAACTATTTTCTATTATTCAATCATACATTTGAATGATATTTATCGAACAGGCAATGAAAGTAAATCATTTTCTGTTTTAGTACCACTATTTATTTGTAACTAACGTTATTGCAGTTTCGTCCTACAGGGACATATTCAAACTAATACAATGAACGAAACTGCAATAACGTTAGTTGCAAATACAGGTGGTATAGAAACATGAAAAGTTTTGATTTTCATTTTTCATGATGACATCCTACCACGTAGAAACTCAATTATGTTGTGAAGAAATTGTTTTGATATAAACCAAACAGACTGTTCAGCGATTAGTACCCATTTTTCACGAATGAAATCTCAAAATATTGGTGAATGATCGACACTTCTAATCTCTCACGAAAAATTCGGCAAAAATAATATTCTCAGATTTTCACACTTTTCTTGGAATTTTTTCACCATCCTGACGCTAACGAAAAAAAAGTTTCATGTATTGCGTCCAAACATGCTCTACTATCCAATAATATAACAGCAAGTGGTCCCAAGCTAAGATAATTTACAGTGAGGAACACTGGTACAGGAGGAAGTTCAAAGAAGCTGCATATAAGTTATCTAACTACCCATTCAGTCAAGCTAGCGTAGAGATACGCAACATATGGAAAGCCACAATCAAGCGAAAAACGGTAAACTGCCGCCAAACTGGCATCTCCCGCAAAACCGGTGAGAAGAGACATGAAAGAGGGGATAAGTGGAAGCACTCAAATGACCCATAAATAGTTATCTCAAGGAAGAATAATCCAGTTATCACCCAAAAACGATTGTGGATATTAACAATCGAAACGTCGCGTCGTGAAGTAACTTGCCTTGAAATCTTTCAATTTTTATTTCATTTCAATTGTTCAATTGTCAATTTTTTGCTAATTTTCCATTTCATTGCAATTTCATTTCAGAGTTTTTTGCGTAACACAATTGTCATTTTCAGCTATTTATTTCATTTTCAATTTTATATGTTCTTTCAGGGATTTCAAATCATATTGTATTATCATTTTTGGGAAAGAAAGTTATTGGCTTTCTACTAATTCATCTCAATGCAAAAAATTGTGGGAATCTTCCAAAGGAAGGAAGAAAGTAATCAATTTTAAAAGAAGTAACTGTATACATATGTATACTGTATACATGCAAAGAAGTAACCTTCAGATATAAATCTGAATGAAAAAGCATTTCTTAAATAGCCACTTTTATGTAAACATTGAATTACACGAAAAAAAATTCTTTGGAAACAAATACTTTCATCTGAACACTGAATTACACTTTTTTCTATTCAGTTTGTATTCTAAACATTCGTTATGAAAATACATCAGATATCACTCACAGGGTTTCTACACAATATACTAAATGAAAATGAAAATTTTACTTTCTATTCCAAAATTTAATCAGTCCTAAAAAATAACCTTTTCAAATATATTATATCACATCAGACGTTGGAAGTCCAAACTAATGAAATCTATATATACTTATTGCTTGTTTTCGAGATGAATCTTTTCTTTGTTAGATACGTAGTAGCAGCAGTAGAAAAAAACCTACAAACCGCTGAAAAAATACAATACCAACTCAAATGAATGTGTAAATAATTTTGAATTTTTTTTCTTGAATCCCTCTGAGTATTTTTCTGTTACGTACGAGCATCTATTCTTACTTGTCTATTCCTTTGAATTTTCGAAAAACATTGCAGTTTCAATCTATGATTGAAATGCTACCTCAAGTTGATCCTTGTTATAATCATTTTCTTCGATCAATATAAAAAATACCTATCAGAATCTATGTGATTTTGAAACTAATTAATACAGTTTATTGTATGATTTTCACTATAATTTGTCCATCCCGTATCAGCACCAAGTAGAAGCTTTCGGCAGTATGATCCACAGACTGATAAATGTGCCCTATTCTGAAGCGAATTTCAATAAAGAACTGAAAATAATAAAACAAATTGCCGTCAACAATAATTAAGATAGCAGTCTAATATATTCTTTATTATCATAAAAGTTATACAGCCAAGCTTTGAAGGAAGTTTACCCAATTCGAAGAAAAGAGGATAAAAGTTTTATAGAATCTTAACCTAGGCCAATCCACTACAGGTATTTCAGATTTTCTACACAACAGAGGTGAATATATTGCTTTCAAAACCAATAACAACTTAGGCATGCACATTAGGAATAACAAGGATAAAAGTTCAGTTTCAGAAAAATTGGGAGTGTATAAATTATCATGTGGGTCATTTCCGATATTTTATATAGGTCAAACTAGAAGAACGTTCAAATCCTGCATGAAGGAACACATAAGGTTTGAAATTTAATCTTTTGGAGGGTATAGAAATAAACAAATTCAAAACTTTCAATATTTTATGAACGATCAAACTGAATTGAATATCTCGCCATTATTGAATCTGTTAATTCTCAGGTGAAAATAGTATATTTACGGTACCCTCGAAAAATGTATCCGTATAGAAAATGAATTCATACCTGTAGGCATACAAGTAGGTAATATGTTAGATTATGAAATAGATGTAATCTAGAAGTTACTTTTAGTATATGCTTGAGGAAGCTATTGTATAGCGAAACACGTGTTGCGGTTTTTGTAAAACCCTTTATAGTGAAAATCATACAATGAACTGTAATAATTAGTTCCAATATGGATTTTCATCAAGTATCGGCCAGTTCTATTCAGTAATGTGATTTCAGAAAGTCCACAAGTAGAATTGAATTCACTACCAAACATAAAATTAACCATAGTAAATGAACTGATACCCTGACTGGAATTTTTCAAGGTACAAAACTCTGAAATAAAGTCTGTACATAACTTGTCTCCTCCAAATTAAACTTGATCAACTCTGTAGACGTTTCACTTGCAGACCAATTTCTTGTACACCCTAAGTAAATGTGAGGTCCCGCGAAATAGGAGCAAAACGACGTGTAAACTGCACACTTCAGCTTGATTTATATCGTGACGTCTCGCTATATTTCAGAGCCAGCTAGATAGGATTGTTCGGAGTGTATGTCCAACCAGATTAATTCGGACTGTATATCGAGAGTTTCGTTCACATTCAATGGATAGAACTGCATCATTTGAATGATGATATGATATTAGCAAGCATAATTTCAGATAAATTTCACAATTATCTTCTGACACAGAAATCTCTTTCAAACATTTCAGAGAGCTCACACTCAGTTGACACGTTTTGAGCATTTATTTATCAATTGTCCTCATGCATACTCTAGAAATAGACAATATCCACCGTTTTTCAAAATGGAAAACCCCTCATTGATATCTTAGGAAGAATGTAAACGTTCATGGCTAGAGATACCTGTATAGAGGCTATTTTCTGGGTTTTTTGGACGTGATCTGCAGGTTTTTATGCCTGACGTTTCGTCTACTGCTACGGTAGACATTTTCATAGGCGATAAAGTAACGGTCGCAATACCCGAGCTGGTGCTCTGGTTCTTGTTCCTGTTGTATTCAACGCATTAACTATTTCTTCACTTGGCGCTCTGTTCATTTAGTTCTTAATTATATCACCTGTTCGTGTATCTTCAAGGACAGGTAGCCAGCTTTTGCTAATATTCATTGTCTCTTTCTTTATTGAAATTTTCCCCATCCTATACATTCTTGGGTAGCAATTTTGGGTACTGTCGTTTAATGATAGTGTTTAATAAAAGCTCACTGTCCTTAGAGGTACACGAACACGAACAGGTACTACTAT